TTTTTACCGCTGAGTAAAACTCCAATGTATATATGTTCCACACCTTTTTTAACCACTCTTCTATTGAGGGGCACCTAGGTTGTTTCCAGATTCTGGCTATTACAAATAGTGCTGCTATGAACATAGTTGAACAAATGCTTTTGTAGTATGGTTGGCCATCTCTTGGGTATATTCCCAAGAGTGGAATTGCTGGGTCCTGAGGTCGGTTGACTCCTAGTTTCTGGAGAAACCGCCACACTGATTTCCACAGTGGCTGCACAAGTTTGCATTCCCACCAACAATGGATGAGAGTTCACCTCTCTCCACATCCTCTCCAGCATAGGCTATCATTGATGTTTTTGAGTTTAGCTATTCTGACAGGTGTAAGATGGTATCTCAAAGTGGTTTTGATTTGCATTTCCCTGATCGCTAAGGAGGTTGAACATGACCTTAAGTGTCTTTTGAACATTCGACGTTCTTCTGTTGAGAATTCTCTGTTCAGTTCAGTATCCCATTTTTTGATTGGGTTAATTAGAGTTTTAGTGTCTAATTTCTTGAGTTCTTTGTATATTTTGGAGATCAGACCTTTGTCTGATGAGGGGTTGTGAAGATCTTCTCCCAGTCCGAAGGTAGCCTTTTTGTCTTACTGACAGTGTCCTTTGCTTTACAGAAGCTTCTCAGTTTCAGGAGGTCCCATTTATTCATTGTTTCTCTTATTGTCTGTGCTACTGGGGTTCTACCTAGGAAGTAGTCTCCTGTGCCCATGTCTTGTAGACTACTTCCCACTTTCTCTTCTATCAGGTTCAATGTGGTCAGATTAATATTGAGGTCTTTAATCGATTTGGACTTGAGTTTTGTGCATAGTGATAGATATGGATCTACTTTCATTCTTCTACAGGTTGATATCCAGTTATGCCAGCACCATTTGTTAAAGATGCTTTCCTTCTTCCATTGTATATGTTTAGCTCCCTTGTCGAAAATCAGGTGTTCATAGGTTTGTGGGTTAATATCCGGGTCTTCTATTCGATTCCATAGGTCAACTTCTCTGTTCTTATGCCAATACCAAACTGTTTTCAATACTGTAGCTCTGTAATAGAGTTTGAAGTCAGGGATGGTAATGCCTCCAGAAGTTCCTTTATTGTATAAGATTGTTTTGGCTATCCTGGGTTTTTTGTTTTTCCATATAAAGTTGATTATTGTTCTCCCAAGGTCTGCGAAGAATTTTGATGGGGATTGCACTGAATCTATAGATTGCCTTTGGTAGAATTGCCATTTTTACTATGTTGACCCTCCCAATCCAAATGCTCTTGCTTTTTTGAAGCTTCCCAGGCTACCTGTATTCTATAGCTCATGTCTCCCTTTTTCCTCCATCTGCTTCCTTAGCTCATCTCCCTGTCTCTAACTACTTTCTCTATATATCTCTTCCAGGCTGGCTATATTCTGCCCTGCTATGGGCTGAAGTAGCTTCTTTTATTAACCAATGGTAGTAAAACATATTCACAGCATACAGAGGGGAATCCCACATTATATATTCCTATAAGTTGCTTATTTTGATTCCATCATCTGTGTAAGCAATATCTGTATAAAATCAAGGATTAGTTATGTTGATATCTTTGGAGTATATTACACAGATTAATATGACAGAATGTTGTTAAATATGAGGAAGATTAAGGAAAGGAAAACAGCAACCAACTAATGACAAAAAGTACAATTGTTGAAAAATTCATTCACTTTCCCAATGTTTCCTGACAATCTACTTTTGACCTAGCAAATAAGAAGAACAGTGATGCCCAGATGAGGAATAATCTAATTTAAGGTCTAAAAAGCCAGGCACATTCTCGAAGAAGAAAGTTCTGCAGTTAATAAACGGCCAGGATGATGTAACTGATTTCACTTTTACAATAAGCTGTCGCTTTAAGAAGGAACTGGTTCTGTTTTAAGTGCATGGAGTCTACAAGTAGAAATAAACCCAACAGCATGAGAGAAAGTGTCCGTTCTGTAAGGGCACGGGGAATGAGCCATGGCCACTGCCACAGGGCAACAGCGAACAGCTCCAGCCATCCAATCCCGCGACACAGTGTCAGTGTGAGGCCCTTGTAATCTCCAGAGATGGGGGCAATGATACTGGGGCCTTCAATTTGCTGCTAGAGGAAAGAATTTGCTGCAAGGGAAGAAGTCAATGGATCCAGGCGCTTGATATATTGAGAAACAAGGAACTGGCTGTGGCTAACACTTTTGTCATTCTGCAGCAGCGGTAAAAATCAGAAACTTGCGATTACGCACTGCTGGTGGCCTTCTAACTGAAAATGCCTCTCACTGCGAGAGTTACTAAGTGCCTCTTCCCTGAGAATAAATGTGGCCCAAGTGATAAACCGGCCTTTCTGACACTTGTCTCTCTTTAAGGAGACAATATTGCAGGGGTGGGGTGGGTGTTAAGGTTGATTACTCAGAAATAAGACCAGAAGGAGAGAAAGCGTCTTACTCAACAAAATGTTTTTGTAAATGGGAGGCAAAGTTAGAAGACAGGCGAGACTTAGAACATGCACGCACACATGTGCATGCATACACATGTACACATGCATGCAGGTTTGTTGTTTGTGTGTAGTCTCTGTAAAACTGTCAAAGTAGGATGAATTGTGCATGTACTCAATGCTATTTTTGAGTACAAATAAGTTTAGGGCCATATCTCTATGGGAAGTGGCCAGAAAACATGAGCAGGTTTGCAAGACACTGATCCTCTCTAACTTCTATGGCTGTCTCTCTCTCTGGGCTCAATAATCCACTAAAATATGTTGTATGGAAAATATCAAAAGGAAAACTCAAAAGAAGGGGAGTAAGAGATTATATAAATTTTATTGTAATATATTACCATAATCTTTCTATGTGCCACTAGTTAGTATTGTTAATCATTTACCGACTTAATTTATCAATTCAACTAGGTATGTATAAGAAGTAAAAAGATAACAGATATAAGATTTGGTATAATATATGGTTTCTAACAGGTTTTAAAATTTATTCTCATGGATAAGAGGAACTACTAATACATACATATATATATACATATATGTATAATGTGTGTATGTTTATATTTACCTTGCATATGGTATCTATGCAATCTTTAGAAATGGCCTTTGATGATCTTCTAAGAAAGGAAGGATTAGAAAAAGTAAGCTTTGGAGCCACTTCTAGGACTGAATTCCATTTCAGCTCTGTCCTCTAAAAGTTTTAAAACTCAAATTCTTTATTTGTTTAATGAGGTTAAAGTATTATTGTTTTGGGATCAAGTGGCATTAACATCGTTAAACTTTTACATTGTTATTAGCATATGGGATATTTTTAAACCACAGTGTTATCATCAAGAAAAACAAGAGCCATCATTACCAGCCATAGAGATACGATTTTTTTAATCCTATTTAACCAGTAAATTCTGCATTAGATTATACACACATACACACATACCTTTGAAGAATTGGACACTTAGTGTGCAGAAAAACCTAGAGTTTTAAGTTGGTCAAAGTCGCTGTTAAAAATACACACAGAAGTCAGGCAGTGGTGGCACAAGCCTTTAATCCCAACACTTGGGAGGCAGAGGCAGCTGGATCTCTGAGTTCAAGGCCAAGCTGATCTACAAGAGCTAGTTCCAGGACAGGCTCCAAAGTTACAGAGAAACACTATCTCAAAAAAGAAAGAAAGAAAGGATGAAAGAAAGAAAGAAGGAATCAAGGAAGAAAGAAAGAAAGAAAAAAAGAAAGAGAGAAGAAATACACACAGTAGCCAGTGTACCAGTGAAGATGATCTTCCTAACAAGTTCATTTAGGAAGATTTTGTAGTATCTCTCTTGTGAGATGTCTCCACTGTCTTACATACAACTGTGTTTTGCTTTCCCCCACCTCCTTCCAATACTATTGCTAAAATCTGTATTAAACTTTCTTTTAGCACAACCTACCCTTGCTTGCTTCCCTACAGAGACTTAATTTTTCTAACAACAATATTTCTGGAATATTGATTAAAAAGTTGTGTCCGCTTCAATTCAAACTCAACATTGCTGAAGTTTCTGGGTCAATCGTCTTTCATAGATGGTAACTCACTTGTCAACATATTATTTCATGCAATGGATTAAATCGTTTGCCTTGTTCCAAATTTGGAAACCTAACTTATAATTATGAGCTATAAGAAATTCTTGTTTAGGAGATGAAGGTATCTAATACTTTCTAGAACTTTCTGACATTTCTCTTAATGAGTTTTACCCAGCATGCAGCAAAAAGTTAATAATTTTCTGTGATACTTAATAGATAAAGTATTGCAAAAACACTGTACAAGAGGGGTTCTGAGGGACTTTCTGGTTCTTTCTGAAGAAGGAAAAGAGGAGGGTGGGAAACTGTATCACCACCACACTTTCAACCTGATAGTCAAATTTGCTCCAACTTTGGTACCATTTTTGTTTAATGTGTTTTGATGTTCATGGTTAGGGTATGGGGTAACTCTTTTGGTAAAATTCTCAGTCTTTAAAACAAGTAAGAACACAATCACAATTGATGTTTGAGGAGAAGGGCGTAGTCTGTTTAGATAGCTGTGTTTTCTTTTTGACCTGGCCCCATTTCTAAATTAGAGCAGGAATAGGGAACATTTTTCCTATGGAGATGAAAGTCAATCAGTCCACAACATGTGGGCTTAGCCTGGTTTGGACGAAGTGAAATATTACAACTTATATACCTTTACGTCTCTGTTCCTCTATCTGTTCCTCTATCTGTATCTATCCCTCAGTCAAACAGTTTCCTCTCTGGAGGTATACTTCCGGTGTCCCTGTCTTACAGGAAGAAGGGGCAACCCAGAAGAATGTAGCAGGGAAAGCCAGAATGGGAGAAGGCGAGCTGCAGATCACCTGAGTCTAAAGGCAGACTGGAAGAGGGTATATGATAAGAACTTAAGAGAACTCTCTGAAACCCATGTAGCATCAAGCCATAAGCAGTTTCACTTCCCCCAGCGAAGCCATGCCATAGCTTTGTGGCCTGAGTACCGGGGCTACACTTCCGGAAACCTCGGACCACAGTACCCAGGGTGGGAAGCAAGCTGCAGGGCCACAACCCAGCAGAGCTCAAGGTCTGCAGGGGAAGTTGCAGGCAGGGCCCCTGCTGCTGCAGTTCCCAGGCCTCTGGCTCCAACCACCAGCAATGCTTCATGTGGCTTCTGGCACTAGGGGCAGCAGCCAGGACCTGCTCACCGCTGGCCCATCGCCTCCAGGTGGGTGGTCTTGCATTTGCCAGGGCTGTGGGTGGAGGGTTCAAGATGAACCTGGGACCCTGCTGAAATTAAGGGCCGCCAGAACACTTTGTCCTGGAGCCACCAAGATCAGGGTATCTTTAAACCTGTTTCCCCCACATCTGAAGGGCATCTCTACCAGGCCGCTGCTTTGATGGATGGGAGTGGGAAACACAGCCGGTGGGGCGTGTACTTCCTATTCTAGCAGCTTTTAGCACCTGCCTGCACAACTTCTGACGAGCTAGAACTTTCCCGAGTGCTCCAGGCAGTGTCCAGACAATTCTAAAACCATTTTGCACATTGCCTTAAAGCTAGGTCCCATCTGAAATGTATACAGATGGAGCGAATTGCCTCGTCTGTTACATCCTTGCCATTTTACCAGCCTTGTGCGGATCTGTGCCTCTCTGGAGCCATGAGCTCCTAACTGAGAAAAGGGAAAGGGGTCACTTTGGCTGAATATGTCAGTGAGTTTCTGCTTTCAAATTAACGTTAAGGTGGTTGCTTTGAGTTCCTTTTGGTTTTATTTTCAAACGCATTTGTGAGCCCTATAATCAGCCTTAAAAACTGTTAGCTTTGGAAAAGAAATTTCACGAGGATATCTATCTTATAGGAAACGTTCCTGAGGAGAAATGCAGCAAGAAAAATACAGCCTGAAATTCTTTTTGTGTACTAAGGAGAATTAAATTACTTGTAACATTTTTTAGGTAGTATCATTTTTTTTTTTGCTTCAGTTGCTTTAGGGTATAATATACTTTTAATAAATGTGAACAGCTGCTTTTCATTTAAAATGGGAAATGTACTTAAAATAGTGGACAATGGCCTGAGATGAGTTAGGACCAGTGGTGGGGGGACACCATGTCATTTTACATACTAGACACTGACATTCTTCAGCAGTGGATAGCTTGGGGTCTGTGACAATGTAGCCTCTCTAAGGAAATACACAGAAACCGACACTCTTCTGGACCCTGAGCAAGTGACCACTTTTGTAATTTTAGTTTTACCATTGAGTTGGAAGCCTTTTGTTTCACTGATATTCAGGTTAATTTATGGAGACAGTGGTAATTCTGAGCAACAGGCTGATGTGACGCACCTTCTATGTCCTGCGGAGTATTCTTGCTCCTCTGTGTTCTTTTCCTCGTCTCTTTGTTCTTTCTCAGTATAATAGTAGTGCTTGCCTCAGTTACTTCCTTATGGATGTGAAAGTTCCCCAGTATGGAGTACTATTTTGACATTAGCCCAGTCCCACTCCAATTGTGCACGTAGTCTTTTAAGAAATCCAGTTTTCTTTTTCTTAGTCAGGTTTGTCATTATACAGTTTTGGAAGTGTACACAATGCATACAGACCAGTCTCAGCGTCCACCTCCCTGTCCTCCTATCAGACTTCCTCCCCATAAAGCTCACTTTCATATTCATGCCTATGGCTTTCATTTTGTGACCCATGGATATTAACCAAGTTCCATGTAAACATGAGTTTGGAGCAACCCTTGGTGACTGGCAAGTCTCTAGTGGGTACCCAATTCAAGAAAGTGATTTCCCATCTCCCCGAAGGAGGGTCTCACAGGGCCCCTTTACTTCTTACCTTATTTATTAAGTGGTGAGATCTTTCATACCATGGAGTTGACATTCGCTTAGTGTGGTATGGGGGCTTAATTCATTCAAAGACTTCCTTTCTGAGGAAAAACTGCTCTTCAGAGAGATGCTTCTCGTGGTCACACAAGAAGTAACTACCAGGAAGTCATCCAGTCATCAACGCATGAGCCACCATGTGTCTCCTCACTAGAGTTATGTAGCAATAAGTGTAAAGTGGTAACCATGAAGACATGTCCTATGATGACCACATCCTGACATCAGAACCCTGCTCCCCATTAAGTATCCAACTAGTCCTTCAGTGACGGATGGTAAGGTTTAATAACCAGTACTCAAGCAGAGTGCACACAATGTACAAATAATGGGAACTGGATTTAGAATGTGTCTTTTTAAATTAATTAATTAATTAATTAAAAATTTCCACCTCCTCCCCGCCTCCCTTTTCCCTCCTCCTCCCCACCTCCCCCTCCCTCTCTAGTCTTAAGAGCAGTCAGGGTTCCCTGCCCCATGGGAAGTCCAAGGTCCTCCCCTCTCCATCCAGGTCTATAAAGGTGAACATCCAAACAAACCAGGCTCCCACAAAGTCAGTCCATGCAGTAGAATCAAAACCCAGTGCCATTGTCCTTGGTTTCTCAGTCAGCCTTCATTGCCAGCCACATTCATAGTGTCCATTTTGATCACATGCACTATCACTCCCAGTCCAGCTGGCCTTGGTGAGCTCCCATTAGGTCAGTCCCACCGTCTCAGTGGGTGGACGCACCCCTTGTGATCCTGACTTCCTTGCTCACGTTCTCCCTCCTTCTGCTCCTCATTTGGACCTTGGGAGGTAAGTCCAGTGCTCCATTGTGGGTCTCTGTCTCTACCTTCATCCATTGCCAGATGAAGGTTCTATGGTGATATGCAAGGTATTCATCAGTGTGGTTATGGAACGAGGCCAGTTCAGGCACCCTCTCCTCTGCTGCCCAGGGAACAATCTGGGACCTCTCCTTGGACCTGGGAACCCCTCTAGAGACAAGTCTCTTACAAGTCCTAAAATGGCTCCCTTAATTAAGATATTTACTTCCCTGCTCCCATATCCACCCTTCCTCCATCCCACCCATCCCATTCCCCCAAGCTTTCCCGAATCCTCCCCTTCTCCCTTCTCTCTACCCATCTCCCCTTACATCCACCCCCACACCCCCATGCACCCAAGTTTGCCTGGCATCCTTGTCTACTTCCAATATCCAGGAGGAAAATTATATGATTTTCTTTGGGTTCACCTTCTTATTTAGCTTCTCTAGGATCACAAATTATAGACTCAATGTCCTTTAATTATGGCTAGAATCCACTTATGAGTGAGTACATACCATATTCCTCTTTTTGGGTCTGGGTTACCTCACTCAGTAAAGCGCTTTCTATTTCCATCCATTTGCATTCAAAATTCAAGATGTCATTGTTTTTTACCGCTGAGTAAAACTCCAATGTGTATATGCTCCACCCCTTCTTTAACCATTTTTCTATTGAGGGACACCTTGGTTGTTTCCAGGTTCTGGCTATTACAAATAGTGCTGCTATGGACATAGTTGAACAAATGCTTTTGTAGTATGGTTGGCCATCTCTTGGGTATATTCCCAAGAGTGGAATTGCTGGGTCCTGAGGTCGGTTGACTCCTAGTTTCTGGAGAAACCGCCACACTGATTTCCACAGTGGCTGCACAAGTTTGCATTCCCACCAACAATGGATGAGTGTTCCCCTCACTCCACATCCTCTCCAGCATAGGCTATCATTGATGTTTTTGAGTTTAGCTATTCTGACAGGTGTAATATGGTATCTCAGAGTTGTTTTGATTTGCATTTCCCTGATTGCTAAGGAGGTTGAGCATGACCTTAAGTGTCTTTTGGTCATTTGAAGTTCTTCTGTTGAGAATTCTCTGTTCAGTTCAGTACCCCATTTTTTAATTGGGTTAATTAGAGTTTTAGTGTCTAGTTTCTTGAGTTCTTTGTATATTTTGGAGATCAGACCTTTGTCTGATGAGAAGTTGGTGAAGATCTTTCTCCCAATCAGTAGGTTGCCTTTTTGTCTTAATGACAGTGTCTATTGCATTACAGAAGCTTCTCAGTTTCAGGATGTCCCATTTATTCATTGTTGCTCTTATTGTCTGTGCTACTAGGGTCCTACCTAGGAAGTGGTCTCCTGTGCCCATGTCTTGTAGACTACTTACCACTTTCTGTTCAATTTCTGTTTAACCTAGCTATGGTTTAACAATGTCAGAAGGGGGACCCTTCCTCTGATTCATTCTAAAGCTAATGCTTTTTAAAAGTTTTTTTTTTTAATAGCTACCTTCTTTAGGAGCTATTCATTGAAGTCAAAATTATATGTCCAGTACTTTAAAAAGTTTTAGTTAGCATTATTTGTTGTGGGAAACAGAAATATTAAAGATTCAAAGCCATGTGTATCCCCACCCGTCATGTGCTCAGATCTTAGCCACAGCATTTATGAAGTGAGGTTTCCTACATCTCTCCCTCTAAATCCAGTGGATTTGCAGCTTTTCCTGCCACTATGATTTGGATCTGCCCTACTAAGCAAACCCCTGGTTCTACTCTGGTACTTGACAAAACTTGCTTTCTCTGGAGCATCCACAGGTTCTGATTAGGTCACTTCTGCTGAGAAATAAAGAAGGAAACCCTTTTAGACAGTTTTTACTTAAACATGAAATTATTCAGTAATGTATAATTTACTAGAGAGGTCAGGCCTAAGCATCAGCGTGTCATGGGGTACTGGATGAGCAGAAGGACTTTCTACTGCAATACATTAGTGGGCACTGCCCACCTCTGAGGCCTCCGGATGCAGGCTCTCCCAGGCCTGGTTCCAGCTTCCTCACTTCCCTTCTGTGATCATCAACAACCTCTTTCAGTTGTTATCAAAAAGAAAAATCTTGGGAAACAATAACACATATTTGGAAGGGTTGTGGGTTTTTTTTTGCGAATTAAAAGAGAAAATATAAGAGAAGTCCTCTTTAGGGTACTATAGATGTTATTTTAATTCTTGTATCATCATCATTCAATAGTGCTGTATTTACATATTTAAAAATTAAGTTCTTCCTGGGTTTCATGGTACAGGCTGTTAATACCAGCTAATGGTAGACAAGGTAAGAAGCCAGTCTGGGCTACACAAACAGAGAAACAAAAAAAGATAAAAATTTATGTTGGGAAGCCTTTTTGTCTGGTCTGGAAGCCAACTTAATGACTAAGCAATTTGAGAGCTGGAAAAATTAGAAGGTATGGCTTCCTGTGTGAGATACTGCCACATCTGTGGGGAAATGATGTGGTTAGAAGGATCCACAATGAGAAAACCAAGGGCACATGGATGCAAAGAGCATGAAACGGAAGCAGTTTTCACAGAACTAAACCATGAAA